TTCCATAGGGGTAATTTGCATGAAGAGCTCCTCCAAATTATTGACGCTCCTTTATATGAGCTTAAACTATCTACATATTCAAACGCTCCTTGATATGAGCCTAAACTATCTACATATTCAAATGCTCCTTGATATGAGCTTGAACTATCTACATATGCTCCTTGATATGAGCCTAAACTATCTATATAGCTCCTTGACACGAGCATAAAATGTCTTCATATCAAGATCTCCTTGACACGAGAATAAAAGGTCTACATATTAAACTTGCAGGCTCCTTGAAACGAGCATATAATGTCTACATATCAAGATCTCCTTGACACGAGAATAAAAGGTCTACATATCAAACTTGAAGGCTCATTGACGCGAGCATAAAATGTCTACATATCAAGATCTTCTTGATACGAGAATAAAATGTCTACATATCAAATTTGAAGGCTCATTGACACGAGCATAAAACATCTACAAATTTGAAGGCTCCTTGATACGAGCATAAAATGTCTACAAATTTAAAAACTCCTTGATACGAGTACAGACTATCTTTCAAATCAAATCAAGACTCCTTGATACGAGTTTAAACTATCTACAAATTCAAGTCCGAGTTTAAACTATCTACAAATTCAAGTCGAAAACTCCTAGGTAAGAGCTTAAACTATCTACAAATTCAAGTCGAAAACTCCTAGGTAAGAGTTTAAACTATCTGCATGTCCAAACCAAATCAAAAATTTTAAGACTCATTCACTATCAAGACATTTTGTCCGTGAACAAGTCTCAAGGGGACATTTGTAGACATCGAAATTTTAATATTTTATTAATTAATGTCTTTATTTATTTTAGAACATAAATCCAAGATAAATAAGATATTTAATTAATAAAGTTATTATTTCTTGCCCCCCAAGTCAAATCTTAGGATAAAGAGAGAGATTATATCAAATCTTAGGAGAAGGAAAGAGATTATGTCAAATCATGAAGGATCAATCAAATTGAAGTCCTCTTCTCCAAGACTCTCTCTCCTACACCTATAAATAGGGCTCTCCTCAATGCCACAAAACATACCTCAAACACCTCAAACACCACAAAATTATCAAACACATCTCAAAGATTAAAGTCTCAAATTCAAGGGCTCTCAAGAACCCTCTTGAATATTTGAAGAAGTTCTTGAAGAACCGTCCGAAGTCCATTCAATGAAGAAGAAGGCCAAGAAGAAGAAAAAGAGGAGGCGGCGACTCTTCCCCAAGAAGTAAAGAGACGACTTCCACTTCTCTCAAGTCAATCCAAGAATATCAACGACGTTCAAGCGACATTCAAGCCCCGTTCGTTGAGAAGTTCAACCAACATAGCGTTTGATCCAGGAAAAAGCTATCAAGCCTCCGAATCAACGTTATTCAAGTCAGAGTCCCTCTTTCATGAAGATCAAAGAATCAAGTCTTCCAAGAAGTCATATTCAATCAAGTCAAGGCCTAACATTTAATACGAGAATAAGTCATTCCACCTCCAAATTAATGTTAGAGAAATTCAAGACCAAGCCCGAAGGAGATTCATTTGTCAAATCCATCTTTGAAGGTCTCAATCCCAAATTCATGAAGAGAAGAATCAGAGGAGATAAATAGAGATTATACCCGCAATATCATTTGATCGAAATTTAATCAAGTTGTACAAAAGTTTTATGTCTTCCATAAAATTTGTTGTTACAGAGAGTCTGAACAATATTGTCTTATTTGAAAAGAAAAAATATGAATCACCAACTAACAAATGCATAATTAAGAGAAGAATTCAAAATAAAAATCAACCAAAATTTTAAGGATATCACATATTCTTTTTAATAATATACAACATTTTAAGGATTAAAAAAGAGTCATATTGAAAATGCAGATCTTTTGGGATAACTGAGGAATTTTTTCGACAATGAACAATGGTGAAAAATAAGATTTCTTAATTAAAGATAATGATTTCTAGTTGAACAAAAATAATATATAAATTCAAGGAGCAACAGATAAAAATGGCAGATTCTTTTCAAAATTTTTATACATCAATTTATTAGTTAAATTGGACAAACAAATATTAATCACTTTGTAATTCTCTACAAACTTTAAATATATTGATTAGTAGATAAATATGGACAAAACAATTTTCCAAACTGTAAAAAAATTTACACAAATTTCCAAACTTTTTATCCTAATTTAGTTGATTTGGCCGGATTTTACACACAAATAATAATCACTTTGGGATTCTCTACAAAATTAAAAAATATTGTTTAATTAGATAAATATGGACAAAACAATTTTCCAAACTTTAAGGAGATATGCACAAATTTTCAAACTTATTATCCTAATTTCGTTGTGATTTTGCCGGATTTTATATATTGACTTTTTTTAAAATTAAAAAAGAGTAATGCTATTTAGCCTACTTGGACGACAACTTGGGTTACAACACAAGTGTAAATATATTATCAAAAAGTTTAAAAAATAATATTTTTGCACTTGAGTTGTAACCCAAGTTGTCATTCAAGTTGGATCTACAACATTATTCATTAAAAAAACCTTGTCCAATGCGATATTAATGAAAAGTTTGGAAAATATTTACCAATAATAGTAAAAATAATTTTTTTTTGGTGGGATTCTACATGCTTTTTTAGATTTTTTTCTTAATTGCTATTATATAGTAAGGCCTCGTTTACTAAGGTTGATAAGATATGATACGGTTGGTTAACCAACCTTATCATATGTTTACTAGGTTGATTAAGGAAAATGACTAGTCTAATGTGGCATATGGGTCTCTCTTCATTAATATGATGTGGAGGGATTGTTTTGTCCCCCCATTTTGGGGGGATATTTTTATCCCAAAGTTTGAGTTCCAATTTTGGGAGGATATTTATAAAATATTAATTTAATTTTTTTAATTTAAAATAATATTATATATAATCTAAAATAATTTTATTTAATTTAAAATAATATTATTTAATTAATTTTATTTTATTTAAATAATATTGTTTAATATAAAACAATTTAATTTAAATTTCCAGGAAGCTCAGAGCAGGTCAGGACATAAGAAGTCTACAAAGAAGGCAGTCCAATTTGGCGCTTTCCTTGCCTTAAGTAATACCTTTTGTTTTGTGTTTTGGCTTTCCTACTGCTCTTTTCCCGATCTCTTTTTCTTCACAATTAAAAGTCTTTACAAGCCGCAAACATATAGCCAGATTCAGAGGTTATCGACAAAAAAGATTTGTTTAAGTCACTTCGTTTCTTTTTGTCCAAGTCACTTTTTTTTTTTTTTTTGTCTAACTCACTTCCTTTTTTCTGTGTGGGTTTGGGGAATATCCCCATTCATAGGTCCGAGATCTACACCTATGAATTGAAAGGTCCGAATGATCAACTCTGCAATCAGTTGGTAGAATCAATAGATCTTCAAGTTGTTCATTTGAAAAAACGGAAACCCTTCTTATTGTTATTGGATGATCATGAGACTTCCCGAAAATCAAAATTCTTGACATATAACACGACTTTTCAGATATATTGGGTTATATGGGATTTCTGGGAGAATTTTAAATAATATTATTTAATTTATTAAAAAAATTAAATAATTTTATTTAATTAAAATACTTCTATTTAATTAACAATAATATTATTTAATCTAAAATATTTTATTTAATTTAAAATAATATTATTTAATCTATAAAATATTAATTTAAATAATTTTGTTTAATATAAAATATTTTTAATATAAAATATGTTATTTAATTTATAAAAGTTTAATTTAAATAATTTAATTTTATTTAAAATACTTTTATTTAATTCAAAATAATATCATTTAATCTAAAATATTTTATTTAATTTAAAATGATATTATTTAATCTATGAAATATTAATTTAAATAATTTTGTTTAATTTAAAAAATATTTTTTAATATAAAATAATTTAATTTAATTTAAAATAACATTATTTAGCCGTCGGCTTGGGTCGACTGGCACTCGGGTAACACAGTGGATCTCATGGTCGAGTCCGGCGGCGGACGAGTTGAAGGTTAACACGGATGGATGCTTTGTTCCGGATACGGGAATGGCTAGAGCGGGAGGTGTCATTCGCGATCATCTTGGATGAACATTGGGTACTCGTCCATTGTCGGGGCGGAGTTGTGGGGTTTGTTCCAAGGCTTACATTTGGCCTGGGACATCGGGGCGCGTAAGATTCGAGTCAAAGTTGATAACAAGTCCATTCTGACCATGGTTCAGGACGGGCGGTACACCGGGCCGCATGGGAGCCTTCTACGGAGTATTCGGGAGCTTATGGATCGCCCGTGGGTGATTCAGCTTGATTATGTGTATCGTGAGGTCAACTTCGTGGCGGATTATTTGGCGTCGCTGGCGGCTAAAGGTCCGGAGGGCCTGCATAGACTGGATAGCCCTCCGTCGGGTACGAGCGTCTGGCTCCACCATGATTTGGCGGGAGTGTCCTATCCCCGCCCGGTTCTACATTAGGCTATGCGTTAGCCTTCCTTTCTTGCACCGAAAAAAAATAACATTATTTAATTTATAAATTATTAATTTAAATAATTAATTTACATAATTATATATAATTTATAATTATTTTATTTAGCTTAAATAATATTATTTAATCTATTAACTTTTATTAATTAATTTTATTTAATCTAAAAATATTGTTTTATATTATTTTATTTAATTCAAAATAATATATTTAATTTATAAAAATATTTATTTAATTAATTAAATCAATAATTTAATGTATTTATCAAGACTTTTATTCACTTTGATAAACATGGGATAATTTATATCCAAAATGTGATGTGACAAATTAGAGGGATTAATTTATCCAATCCCATGATCTCGCGTCTACAGGCCTAATGGATTTCAATTAAGAATAAAATTAAAATTAACAAAGAAAAAGAAGACGACCAAGATCACTCAAGCAGGCATAGATATTGTAGCCTGTAAACGATAAACTGTATCTTGCTGGGTCGTCGTCACTCGTCGGCCCGGATAAATAACTATGAACACGCTGTTACTCCCTCCGCCACAACTCCACCTCCGCTCCCACATCCCCCGCCCGCCGTCCTTCCTCAGCCACCGCCACTGCCGCCACCTCCTTCCCTCCGCCTCCTCCCACCATGACTTCACCCTCCCGGCCGCCGTCAATGGACACGAGCAGGATCCCTACGACGTCGCTCGGCTCCCCAACCCCTACTACGACTTCGCACCGCTCCTCGATTTCCTCTCTACCCGCTACAAACCACCCCACCCGGCCCGGCCGGACCCGCCCACCGCCCTCGACCCGTCGGAGCTCAGCCTCGCCGAGTCCTACTGCGCCGTCCCGGCACCCCTATGGCACTCCCTCATCAAAACCCTATCCTCCTCGCCGTCGTCCTTCTCCACCGCCTTCGCCCTCGTCACCTGGCTCCAGCGCCACAACCTCTGCTTCTCGTACGAGCTGCTCTACGCGATCCTTATCCACGCCCTAGGACGAAGCGAGAAATTGTACGAAGCCTTTCTGCTATCTCAGCGCCAGAGCCTGACTCCGCTAACTTACAACGCCCTAATTGGGGCCTGCGCCAGGAACGACGACCTTGAGAAGGCACTGAATCTATTGGAGAGGATGCGCCGGGACGGGTACCAATCCGATCTCTTCAATTACAGCCTAATTATTCAGTCCCTGATGCGAAACAGCACCATCGACGTCTCCATACTCGATAAATTGTACGGGGAGATGGAGTCCAGCAGGATCGAATTAGACACTAAGCTGTTTAATGATATAATCTTAGGGTTTGCCAGAGCCGGTGACATTGATCGGTCCATGTACTTTCTAGGAATGATGCAGGGGAAAGGGCTGAGCCCGAAAACGAGCACGGTTGTGGCCGTTGTAAAGGAGCTTGGTACTTCGGGCAGGGTCGACGAGGCAGAGGCCATTTTTGAAGAATTAAAAGAAGGCGGGCTAGAACCCAGGACCAGTGCCTATAATGCCCTCCTGAGAGGGTATGTGAAAATCGGGGCCTTGAAGGACGCCGAGTACATTGTGTCGGAAATGGAAAAAAGTGGTGTTTTGCCAGACGAGCACACATATAGCTTGCTAATCGACGCGTATGGTAATGCCGGGAGATGGGAGAGCGCAAGAATCGTCTTGAAGGAAATGGAAACAAACAATGTAAAACCCAACTCGTTCGTTTTCACTCGGATTTTGGCTAGCTACAGGGACAGGGGCCAGTGGGAGAGGTCGTTCCAGGTTCTCAAGGAGATGAAGAGCTGCGGGATCAAGCCCGGCCGGCAGTTCTATAATGTGATGATAGATACTTTTGGGAAGTATAATCGCCTAGACCACATGATGGCCGCTTTCAAGAGGATGAAGAGGGAGGGGTTCGAGCCAAACACGGTGACTTGGAACACGCTTATAGACTGCCACTGTAAGCAGGGGCATCACGATAAGGCGGAGGACTTGTTTGGGGAGATGCTGGAGAATGGGTGCTTGCCTTGTGCGACAACTTATAATATTATGATTAACTCGTTTGGGAGGCAAGAGAGGTGGGATGATGTGAAGGGATTGGTTGGAAAGATGAAGGGTCAGGGTTTGCTGCCGAATGTGGTGACTTACACGACGCTTGTGAATATTTACGGGCAGTCAGGGAGGTTTAATGATGCAATGGAGTGCTTGGAGGAGATGAGATCAGCCGGGCTGAGGCCCTCATCGGCAATGTATAATGCGCTGATCAATGCATACGCGCAGAGGGTATGTTTTCTCATAATTTGGCAGCTATGTGATGTTGAGCTAAAGCTTGTGTCATTTTGGAAATGCTTACTACTAAGGGAGTGCTTGTAGTCAATCTATAATCTATCTATCTATCTATAATCTATAACTCTGTTATAAATAATAAATATAAATATAAATATAAATATAAATAAAAGCTAAAAGGATGAGTGATTTCTTGAAAATTTTGAATTGCCCATACTATCCTCAAAGATGTTACTTTAACGGGCGTAAATGTAATTTAAGATTTTAAATTAGAGTTGATAATGATGATTTGTAACTCATCCAACCACATTTAAATAGAAACTTGAATTGCCAATACTACCCTTAAGAAAAAAAAACTTTTGTTTGAAGAATATAAATGTAATATTATGATTTTAATTGAAAATCACATTACAACTACACACCTGAATTCTTTTTTTATAAATAAGTTGTCTTGAGCTCTTCCATTTTCTCTTTATCATATACAAATTTTATCATTTATATAAAATTTATTTATTACAAGAGTATACATTGTCCCATTTTGGAGCACCACCTTCTAAATTGTTAGTCATTTTCAATCACAAATTGTTGTTGTCACTAATTTATATGTCATCTAAATGTTTTTCAAATGATATTGTATTTTATTTATTCAATAGTGACGCTATAATTAATTTAAGTTTTATCATATTGCTAAATTTTCATTTTTTTAGATATTTTGGTATTGAGACATTGTATGTACTTTTTGTTTTATCATACTTGCATTTACATTATTTGAACTGACATGTCTTGTGAATTAGAGAAAATTAGGAAAGTTAGTATGATACTTCCACATTTTAGGGTCCATTAAATATCCAAAATCTTTAATTAGTCTTCATTTATAAAAGCCGATGAGGAAAAAATAATGAAATTCATGTCTCAAAAGTATGTATATTATATTTTATAATTAATAAAGTAAATTTACTAGACGACTACCCATAGCTTTTGCGTCTTTCTAAAAGTATAGTCATGGTAAAATCAGTTCCTACAACTTTCCCATTTCATGGATTTTGGAAATAGGAAAGGAAAAGAATTTATTAAAATAATTATTGATTGATATCCAATTTTTATTTTATTATGTTATTTTATATACTTTTTTTGTATTTTATTTGGACTGTAAGATATGTATATAATATTTTTTAATTAATAATATGTAAATTAATATTTCATTAAAATAACATAATATGATATCCATTCTTTTGATTTTTATAGAATTTTTGTATTTTATTTGGACAATAATAGACAACTAAAAGAGAATCATTATACAAACTTATTCATATTAATTTATTATATTGTAGTTGTCATATAAGCAACCAAAATAGAGTCAAACAATAAATTATAACTTACATATATACTTGTTATTCATTTTATTCATTTATGAAACTCCAAGTACTCTTAAAAAGGACACAACTTTTGGATATTTGTTGGATTTTTATTATTTCTTTTCGATAGTTTAGTATTGTGACATTCTAATTAATTTTTTATTTTATCATGGTTATATTTTCATTATGTATGGGGGATAATGTCTTGTGAAATAGAGAAAAATTAGAAAAGTTAGTATGATGCTTCCACAATTTAGTATAGTTAATAGTATATATAAGAAATAATAAGTATTAAGCCAAATAATAAATAATGCTTTTAATTTTCAATACATATTATTTAAAAACTACCTTCATCAATGTTTATTTTCATCACTATGTCTCTTCAATGTTTACTCATATCTATATTTATAGTTATAAAATAAATTACATGTATGAAGAGTTTATAATTTTCAAATTTTAAAAAATAAAACTATAATTTAGGACTTTCTATCATTCCAGTGCAAATTAATAATTTTAATTTAATGTCATATATATGATTATTTGATATGTGATAAATAATTGTAGTTGTAGTATTTTCATATTCAGAATGTATTAATCTTTTAACTAAATGTGGATAAACAAGTTACAAATCATCATTATAAATTCTAATCTAATATATATTTTTAATATAATTGCAGTTGATTGATCATGAATGCTCACTATCATTTTCAAATTTTAGTAAAAAACAATTGAAGTACATATTATGTGTAACAAGTTAATATGTTAATAATCAAATTTTTATAAAAAAATACAATTTTTATGTAATGAACAATCTACTTTTTTTTTTAGTTTAATCGAAATTAAGCACAATAATAACAATGGGTTTAAAATCCTTATAATAAGTGAAATGGATTGAAGTTCCATTTTCAAATAACTATCTTAAAAGAGAGTTGTTTCTTGAAAAAATTGAATTGCCAAAAATCACATACGCTATAATTAATTTCTAAAGTTACTAATGTAATTTTGTCACATTTGTTAGGGAGTTCAAATATTAGTAGTTTCAATTATTTTTTCGATCAATTTTTTTCATTCTACTTTATTTTTATTATTTGTTTTATCTATGATCTTATTAATCTTTTATTAAACTTTTTTTGTAATCAATAATGTAATTTCTTTTAGTTGATATAAAGACGTTGGAATATCTAAAAAATTTTATAAATCAGAAAGAAAAAAAGAAGAAAATAAATTTAACGAAAAATATAGTTTTTAAATGTAAGAGAAAATATTATTTTAAATTTCATAAATAAAATATATTTTATTTCACAAGTGTAAAATATATAATGCTCTATAGAAAGTATCATATCTACTATAGATATTTTTTGTTATAGTAAAAAAATTAAAGTGAAACAATTTAGTGATTGCATTAGGAGTGAATGAATCAAAAATTATTTTTCAACATACAAAATGTCAGTTTTTTTGCCGAAAAAATCTATTCATTAAGTGAAAATATATAATCTATTACTATATACAGTTAAGAAAAATTATGAAAAGAATCCGAGTTTATAAAGTTTTTTCTCGCTTTTATTTTCGTTTTTTTACCATTTATGGTAAAGTTTTTTGAATTTTTTTAAATTCCCGCCCAAGCCAATTTTTTATGTGGCTGAATTTGAGTGACAGATTTATATGCGGTACGTGTAATCTATCTTGATAAAAAATGTTTATCCCTATAATTTTGCAAACAATATTTTTTTTCCAACAAAAAAATAATCTCCACGATTCTTTCTATGAATATCCCTAATTAACTGTGCATATATTGTATTGGTAATGTTACACGCCGGATCGTCCATGAAGGCGGGAGACTCAAATTTTACAAATTTTAATTGAATTTTTTTGTTCTTATAATGAATCCCAAATATTTAAGGTTCATAGTTACGTGTACATGATTTATTTAGTTGTCCATAAGAAATGTGATTGTAAGTAGATAAATGTAGGATAAAAAATTATTATTCAGTAGTTTAATCTAAAATCTATAACTAACAAGTAATTAACATATTTCTAACTAGCAATTACAATTAATCAATATTTGATTATTTTTATAGCACATAAACGACAATCATTACATTTTTATCATCTCTATTATTAGTAATATTTGTTTATTTCTCTTTGTTTAAAAGGTGACTATTTATATATATCATATTTGTAAGAAAAATTCACTATTTATTAATCTAACATTAAAATTGTGTAAGGTCATATTAATAGTACTTACAATATAATATAATAACTTTATTTAAAATAATGTAAAAAAATTAAAATTCCATAATGTGAAGTAAATTCTTAACTTTATTTTCATATAATCAAATTCCTAACAAACTAATTAATATTATATTTTTTTATCTACATTATCTAACTAATTTTTGTATGATATAATTAATATAATATCTTAATTAAGTAATCATTTATCTAACCGGAATTATCTCTCTAACAAACTTGCCAATTTTTTCTAAATTAAAATGGTATGATTATTCTTACGGAGATACTTCCAATATATTAAACATTTAGAAACTTTTTTAAAAAAATGATTTATCCATCCTTTTGCTTTATTTGAAATTCTAAGTTTCATTTTTTAATATATTATGGTTTTTTTTTTCTTACGTGTAAATGTTTATTATTTATTATCTAAGTGATAAATATTATTGATTTATCTCTGTCATACATGTTTAATATTTTTTTACGTGATATAATCTAAATTTGGATTTTATATTTTTAAATTCAAACATTTAAAGGAAAAGATCACAAACAAATTTTTTTTGGTACATTTAATTTTATCTTAACTTCCATATAATCACATTACTAACAAACTAATTAATACAATAACAATTATCTAACTGGAATTTTTAAAATATAATTAATATAATATTTAAACTAATTAATCTTTTATCTAACTGAATTTATCTTATTAACAAACATGCCAAAATTTTTGAAATTAAAATAATAAGATTATTCTTATGGGTATACTTACCTGAATATTAAATACTAAAAAACTTTTTGTTTTCATAATAGACGAGATGTGAAAACCATAAATAATTATATTTTAAGTAAAGTCTAAAAAAATGTTTAAAATATGAGGTATCTCCGTGCATCGCACGGGATATACACTAGTTTTAGTAGAAATATTCTGATTAAATTATTCACTAAAACAATATTCATTCATAATATGATTAAAGTTCTTCCTGCTAATATTATGTATAGTATAAATGTTCTTTATGATAATATGTTCACACAACAGTGCGCCTGATATGTTTTTTTCTACACAGACGCACCCCGACGAATATGTGTCCATAGTTCGGGACCATTTCAATCAAGCTCTCCACATGATGTTACATAAAAATAAAATAATCTTAATTGTATTATAAATAAAATAGAGTAATTATAAAAATAAAATAAAATAATTAAAACTCAATTTTAGATCTTGAATTTCAAACGTACTTGTTGGAAAATATATCGTTAGATTTAAAATCAATTACATAAAAATAAATAATACATTTACCTTAAATTTATTTTCAATTTTTCACTAGCCAATCTTATTTATAAAATCTTCTATAAATTAAAATTTTCAAATCACTTCTCAAAGTAGGAAACATAAACTTTTTAAAAATATTGACAAATATATTAAAATAGTATTAAGATAAAAATAAAATATGAAAGAATCATCATTTTATAATTCATTTAAAATGGGTTTATTTATCTTTCACATTTAAGTAGTCTTGAAAATCGTGAACGGAAATGATAATGCATGCATGACAATATTAGGAGATGCAACAATAATTTATTTTAGACAATATATATAGATAGGTACCTTCAATCAACTAATGTTGCGACAATATATATAGATAGATGAGTACCTTTAATAAATCAAGAATGTTATTTTCCTAATAATTTTTAAGTAATTTTTTTTTTCTTTAAGAAGTTATATATTTTTAATTATTTATATCTCTTATGTCATTATATTTAGAGAGAAAATATATATCTAAGTATAATGCAATATGTACGTGCAAATATAATTGAATTTGCAACTGTAATGAACAAAATAATAGTATTGAACGAAACATTCAACCATAGTGGGTAGCTTCCAATCAACAATAAAAAAAAAATAATAACAATAATTACAAATTATAGTTATCAAGTTATTTTTCAAAGAGTATGGCGCAAAAGGAAGACATTAAAAAACTATATTATGTTGACAATAATAATGGTAACTATTTTAAACATAACTATGATTCATTTGATAACAAAATCAAAGACGACATAGATTTCTTTAGCATTTAAAATTTCACAAAAAAATGTTAATTTTATTTGGATTTTTAAACCCATTTTTTTATTTAACTTTATTTTTCATAGAGTTCGGCTAAGAGTATTAAATATTATATTTTATTGTTCAATACATTTATTATTTTTATCATAAAATAAAATACATCATTTTTGTTAAATAATGGAAAGAAAATTATATTATACTATTAAATTAAATCTTATAATAAACATAAAATTAAGCCAAAAAAAAAAAAAACAACAACAACAACAATATCACGTGCGTAGCACGTGCATCTTCCTAGTCACTTAGAAAAGCAGTAGTTTGTTATGTTCTCAAGTACCAACTTTTGCTTCTGCTTCTGCTTCTGCATCTGCATACTGTGGTTAGAATTTAAAGTAGGGTCAGCTTGCTTTATACTTTTCTAATTGTGTGGTTTTCACCCTTACAAACAAATGAGCGGTTTTGCACCAGACACCATCAACTTCTGATTCTACAAAGTAATGTGTGTGTAGTGAATAGCTTTAGTGGGGAAAAAAAGGATGGGTTTGAATGACTGCGAATAAGTGCTATGTAATGCGCTTCTGTTTCTGCTCTTACGGAATGTAACTGAGATCAGTAATAGGGGTAGGGGTGATTGAATTTTTTTCCCAGCTTCTAGTTTGAATTATCCCTTACTAATGAACACTTTTGTGATACATTCATGTGCGACTCTCTGCTAGCTTATTCACTTATAGTGTGCATCTTTAAACACTGCCGGCTTTCAAATACTAATATATTCTATTTGCAAATACTAGTTACTTTCTGTTAGTTTTTGCTTCCATTTGCAAACAACACTTACGACCTAGGTTGACTGCTGCCATAGATGATTAAGCTGCTCCCTGATCTCTTGGTGTTTTTCCTAATGTGTTGATGTGGATTTTGGGATACTTGTATGTGGAACTTTATTCCACACTTGCTTACAGGGATTATCTGAGCGAGCCGTAAATGCATTCAGAGTAATGAGAGGTGATGGTTTAAAACCCACTCGTCAAGCTCTTAATTCCCTGATTAATGCTTTTGGAGAGGACAGAAGAGAATTGGAAGCTTTTGCTGTGTTGCGGTACATGAAGGACAATGTGAGTGTCGTTGACAATCTGTGGATACAATTATTTGTTTTTTTTTTTTTAATTTTTGCTCCTCTGTGTATCCGTAGTCCTAGCTAAACCGGCGTGCATTTTCTTGTTATTGCAGGACTTGAAACCTGATGTCATTACTTATACCACACTAATGAAAGTGCTAATTCGTGTGGAGAAATTTGAAAAGGTCTGTTCACTATCAGTTACCTTTGTAGTTTAATGTGCGTAACATGGGAAACAAAGGAATGTTGCTCTAAATATGAAAAGTGAAGGTTGTGCAGTAGAATGCTTTTGTGTCGTGAAGCGTATAACCTTTCGTCCTTTAAATTTTCTTTTTCATTTTGTCCATAGCCCACAAAGTAACAAATATGTTACCCATATAATGGCCAGAAATAGGATCAAGATGAGACAAACAGATGAAAACTCTTTTTAACCAAACCGAAGTTTGCTCTGGAATTGTAAAGAGGACTGTATATGAGCTGACTTATAGTTATGAATGAGACTTTGCAAGAACTAATAACTTCTCAAACTTTAAGTTTCTTTACCATATTGTAATTTTTTGGAACTTTGAGTTTATGTGAGATGCTATGCTGTTTGATTTGCTGACATGGTCCAATGTAGTACTTACTGGTCCATATGATTTTAGGTCCCAGCCGTTTTTGAGGAAATGCTTGCATCTGGGTGTACCCCAGACAGTACAGCAAGAGCAATGTTGAGGTCTGCTCTAAAATACATGAAGTCTACACTAAAACGGTAGCTGGTTCCTTTTTGTCATATGGAAAAGTGAATGATGGTATCAATTGCAAGCCGACGTATTTACCATTTCTTCTAGGTCAGTAAATATTGTCCCAAAAAAAAAAAATCACCAGTTTCTGTTCTACGTTAATATACGTAAAAAAATAAAAACAAATCATTACCTGCTAATTACACCAGTAACTTTAAATTCTTCTAATTTTCTGAGTTAATTCATGTGCAGGTTGTTTCAAGACATGATTATGAACCATACACTCTGGTGGCGGCACAAATGCCTGGGCAGGATGTTAAACTTCCTCTCCTTATTTGATAAGGAATTTCAAATATAGAATAGGTGATTACTTCTGTTGATTTGATTTGTTGACATTTGAAATGAGTAAGTCTGTCAAGATCTTATCAACACTCAACAGTTCACTGTAATAGAAGCATTGGTGTATTATATGAAATCTCACAAGAGGCAATTTCTTTTGTCAGAAATTATGATGTTTGAAGCATATGATTTGTCCAAGCCAAACGAAACAAAAGCCGACAGTAGTTGCAAACAGAAGGTAAGAGTTGAAAAATATTTGATTTTGTTGGAAAACCTTTATGTTTCATGAAGCTTAACGAAGGAGAGTGGAAAACGACCATTCCATCTGAAGATATCCATAATTTCTCATTCAAGATAATTGCTTTTTTCAATGCTTATGCAGTAGATAACGAATCAAATCTCATGTATCTGCTGTTACAATAATCCCGTATACACTCAACATTTTCATTTCATACCTCAACCAAACAAAAATGTATATCATTAGAAATAATAATAATAATATACACTTGCCCAAAGGAACGGCAAAAAAAAAGGGACACATCTCTCGTCCCCAGCAAAACTTATCGAAATAATCCAAATTTTGTTAAACCAAAAAAAAAAAAGAAAAAAAAGAAAAGTAAAACCTTGTGGATGGTCACAGAGACATGGAGGCAACAATGGGCCTAGTGCTCTTGGAAATTCTTGTGCAGAACATGAACAGTAAGAGCACTGAAGACAACAAGAACAACCTGAAATACGTCCTTATCTCCTGGAGTCCAAGGTCAAGAACTTCCATTTTTTTGCCGTATCTACTTTTCCTGTGCATTAAATATCCATTAAGGTAGTCATCTATCGATACCCAATTGTCAAAACTGGAAGCGATTGCCTTTGTCTGAAGCCCATCCATCTGCATCACGCCTATGTTGAACATCTTGAAGAATGCAGCCGACCAGTCATTCAAAACTCTCTATCGTTCAAAAAATCGACCGAGTTAAAGGATTATAAAATAAGTAGTTTGTCCAGAATATGTCAAACTAAATGCGGAATGATTACTATGAAAACAACCGCAGAGATCAAGCCAACTAAAAAGAAACTTTTATTGTCTTTCAGAAGAGAAAAAACAAAGCACATTTTTTTCGAAAAAGATTGGGCAAATATCAATGTAGGAAGCATGTTATGTATCCTGAGCATACATTGAAGGAGGTGATGTCTACAGGATTGAACATTTTGAAACAGTCGCTTGAGGAAGCTTTAGGATCTCCGTAAATCTGCAAAAAAGTATGTGCATATAAGACTTACATTGGGACCCAACAAATAAGAAAGAAGAAGAATCGTAATTCATAGTGAGTTGTTTGCAACCTCGAAGGTAAAAGCCATGGGAACCCTCGCAACATCAAACATATAATCTGTTGCTGTCCCATGGGCGAGATACCTAGAATATGAAACGTATTTGCAATTAGCAGAGTCTTCAGTATTTCATCCCACACTATTAGCACAAATGATGCAGGAAAAATGTAACATAAATAAACCAGAAGTAAAGAAACAATATGTATATATTTGAAGTAGCACAAACCCCACAGAGCCTCCACCAGACCCAATTAAGCATTGATCTTTGAGGTGAAAATGGTTCAAGTCTTCAAGCACTGATTTCATTATCTGAGATGGTATTCCGGGAGGGGTGGTGTTCTTGTGATCGTACGGCATGAACAAAGCCTGTATAATAGAGTTGTTGATCAACATCAAGGATATAGATATTCATATGTGACACTGACACATACATAAATAAATTACGCGGCTAAGGCTGGGTTGTATCTAAACATAGCAAATAAAAGAGGGCCGACTGAAGGGTTGGTAAAATGCACTCAATTGAACAAATGCTCGATAAATTAAAAAAAGAAAAAAAAAAAGAATACACAAACTTTGAATAAAAAAGTAAAAAATAAAAAGAAAAAGAAAAAATGATGTGATTGACTATTCTAGTTACAGTTATATTTTTAGCACGGGATTAGAACTCCAGCCTGTTGCAGTAGAGTTTGAGAACAATTAACTTACCTCCATCCCAGAGTGCACATTAACCCAAATGTGTGGTTCAAATGAAATAGCCAATTTTCTCATTATCTGAGTCTCAGGCTCGCTGAAAGGAGCAGTTCCAGGTCTTTCTTCGAATGGATCATAATCCTGAGACAAATAAAAAGACACCTCAGGACGTATTGCGATAAAAAAAGAACAAAAGGTGTACATGCAATCACAAAAATAAATTAAAACAGTGTTCCTTCTGCTAGTTATACGGTAAATGCCACTACTGTACAGGAGAAAACACAAGTGAGATGAATTTTAAACAAACCTTCTCTTTTTTGCCCCAATCCACACTCCAATTCCGGTTGAGATCAACACCCCTTCCTGCGAGAAACTCGAAATTTAAGCCTCTAGCATTTCTATGAGAGCCAAATTGTAATTGATAATAAAAAATGCGATTTTTTAAGGAGACCATTTCTCCTCTCGCAAAGCTCTCCATCTTCAACAAGTTTGCGGCCATTCAAATTTTCCAGGGGTACAATCTGTCATAATAGGAATACTTGAAAACATTAAATCTGAATAGAAGTGTTCAGGCACCAAGAATGCAACAAACTCGAAAAATATTTTCTGCAAAATACTATCACTAGCCATGGAAGTTTCAGAAAAAGAAAAGTTCATTTGAATAACACAAACTGTTTTACTGCAATTACTAGGCTTGAAGATCAACACCCGTTTTCTCAATTGTCTACACCCGAACAAATAAAGTTCAAAAGAACCACTAAATAAAACATACCTTTATAACAAGCCTATCAAGTGTTCTATTCAAATAAGATCGGTCCACATTGGGCAAAAATTCCTCTTCGCTCAGAATAGAAAGGATCCTTAATGCTAGCTCAGTTGTAATAAGCTCTCTAGCATGCTGTCCAAAAGTCTGGAACACAAGGAATCATCTGTCAAAAAAACCAGCATAACCAACCTGAGAACTTTTAACTGTTCTATACTAAAGAAAGGGTATCGTAGAATGAGAACCCACAAAATAACCTCAGGTGAAACAGGTTAGGGATAATCATACACCTATAGCCCTTTCTTCTTACTCCATTAAACCGAAAGACGAAAACAAATTCAAATTATTAAAATAAAGAGTTCTAATAGGGCCAGGGTATAAGTACTTACTAGCAGAATCCTAAGCTTGGGTCTGTCATCACTCCCTTTCATATCACGGGAATAAGTAACCACACACATCTCTGCCTCATATCCTTTATTTTTACGAGTAATTTTCTCAATCTGTTAAGATGTTAAGAACAGTTTAAAAAGGGAGCTCTTATGTCAAGGTCAATTACCTCACTGAGGCAAAAAAATTTGAATAAAGTAAAATGATACTCACTGAAAGGATATCCGAGTGTCGATGGACCAATGATTCGATTTCCTCCAGTAAAGCCCCGCTGCACATAATTTAATCAGTTACTGAACATGTTCAAGATGGAAAACCCGAAAAGTAATACAATGCCAATGCAAAAAGAATGTATGATCGGTAAATAAACAATTCCGAGTAAGCTTACTCTACTGCAATAAATGGTAGATGCAAAATAGCTGACAAGAAAATGGGTTAACATAAAAATGAATCCTTTACATCTTGAAATTCCACACACACATACACACATACACACAAGGAAACAATAAAACAAGGAAAAAAAATAAATAAAAAACCTCAAGCTTCCATCTCCAACCTCAACCTTTTACCAGATTTCAATCATTACCACTTCCTTAAATTACAAAACTTCAGCAAGAAAGCAATTAAAACACGAAGTGAGACAAAACATTCATTGAGACACAGTTTTCCTTAGGATTGATTCCCACTTAAGTAACCTACATAATACATAAACAAACAACCCCACCGGCAAAAACAGCATTAAAGATGCAGATCTGATCAAGAAAAATCCTTAAAAGGAGGAAAACATACAATGAACAAAAAACATTTACCTGGTATGGTAAAGATCGTGATCGATAGGGGTGATAGCAGGAGTTTTCGTATCATTAGATCTCCCATAAGCGGAGGAAAAACGATCGGCGAACACGACGACGGACAGGAGAACCAAGAGATTCGGAAATGGATTAAATCCCATTTATAATCGGCGATTAGGTAGGCTGAGACTGCAGATTTTGAGCTGATTATTCATCTCATTGATCGGGAAACCTTTTTTTTTTTGGTGCGCGAATTTGCAGATATACTTTTGAGGCGGTGCGAGTTTTTTCGAACTTCCAAAGTCGAAAGACCCTTTTCGTCGGAGAAGTGCAGAGTTCTTGGAAAGAGGCGTCGATGCGGTTAACGGCAGCAGTATCGCCGATCTGATTTTCCGCTGGCCACCACTTTCAGCTGAATTTTCTCGCCAGTTGAGGAATACAAATATGATTGGCCAGCAGTAGAAAAGTGGTAACGACTCACGAACTGTTAATAAATGCGAGATATGTACCTTTTTCCACGCGTTCAATATTATTTTCAAGAAGTTAAAAAAAAAATAAAATAAAATAAAATATTTTCAAGATATGAAATTCTTTGAAATTTATGATAAATTTATTTTGAAGTACTTTTTATTGTGTAACAAGACGAAATAAAATGAGAACTATGAATGAATCAATTTTTACTTCACGAAGCATCCCACATCCCGATTCATTACACTTCTCTAGTTATTTTTGTGGCTAATACATGGTTATGAGAGCTTGTAGTGGATCTTTCAATGTCACACGAACGAACACCTCTCGCAAGTGTTTTATGGAAAAAGAAAAGATAAAGATGTTAATCTTTAGTCCGTGAGAATACAAACTGAATGCTTGGCTGAGTCGATAAAATATAATTAAAAAATGAGCTTTATGATTTCTTAAAATTCTTAGTACATGCAGAATTATCTCTCTCTCTCTCTCTCTCTCTCTCTCTCTAATATAGTTGCTATTTGGATATTTGTAGGTACTAGAAAACGTGTTTAGCTTTGTAATTTTCAGCTTTTCTAGTATAAAAATATCGACTTTGTAACGTTGAGGGTTAATGGAAAATATCTCTGATATCTCAGCTTAGTGTCTTGATACTCTGCCATTTTCTACATGATATCAGAGCTGGAGGTTAGTTTTCACCAACAATAGCAAACGCCTGGAATGCAGCAACCTGGTCGGTATTGAACGTCGACGACAAAAAATAAAGCTTGTCCAGGACCGATGTTCAAGCTAATGAAGCAATTCTCCTTAAAAGATCCGATAATCCTGGCGTGATTTTGGTATCGCACTCGTTGACATGTGCGAAC